ACACTTGTTTAGGCCAGTACAATGGTATTAGCCTTAACGTCCGTTTTCACGCTCTTGCAAGTTTGCGAAAGTTTCCGTGCATGCTAATTTGCTCAAAAAATGAATTTTCATTATGTTTAAAAAGCCTAAAGGTTTGTACTTAGAATGAAATGAACAATGGTTGCCATCCACATGCTCAGTTAGTGCTCAATTTAATTTGAGCGTACTTTCTTCAACTCTTTTCGGTGAGCAGTACGTAAAAAACTGATTTTTTCCCACAGTATCCCTGATGGCCGCCGGATCCCAGGCTTGTATTTTTTTAGCTAAAACGTCGTACGCTAGAGATTTATCATTGCGGTCTGAAAACTATTCACTCTTCACCTCCCATAAACACGGAAACGACTTATATACATAGTTCAATAAATTCACTGAGGTATTCTTTATCATTGACTGATGAAATACTACTTCACTGTTAAAGCTTGATTGATGCTGATGGTACTGTTGCGCAAGTACGCGATTTTGGTTTTAACTGAGCGGTTTACTTGCGTAAATTGGTTTGAATACTCCTGTTTGCATAAGCGTAAAAACGCACCACTAGCATTCGCATAATATCAAAAAGTACACCCTGACCTCTCTGCTTTCAACGGAGCGATTTCGGCATCCGTGTTACGACCGCCATTTGCGTGCCTGCGCACCCTGACACATGAGGTCTATTCAAGCATTATATTTCACGTCTCAGTCGGTGTTGGTTGGGTGGTTATACTCCTTTGTTTGTGGCCATGCCACTCAGTAAGTACCGCCGATTGTGGAATGCGCTCATTAATTTGGTTTTTAAATGCAAAAGAAATCATCCTGCCACAAATTTATAAATCATTATTGAAGCTTAAGCGCGGTTTTCAAAACCGCCGGCGGAGCCTGCTAGCTTCACGGCAACGCGCAGCCTCTCGTGGCACGAACATAGACGCAACTGGACAAATTGTCAACCATCCAGTCTTGACTTCATCTTTTCCAAAACTTAAAGAATTCTTGGTGAAAGCGCTTGGAAGATTATGGCATGGTGAAAGAAGCAGTTACTAACTGGTTTAACGGTCAGGCGGCAGCGTCCTTTGATGACGAGAATTCAAAACTTGGTGCCTCAAATTGACGAAACTTTAAATGTACAATATTGACATTGTTGAAAAATGAAAAAATGTCCGTATTTTGTGGCACAATTTATGTCCATAAATAAAGTTTCTCTGAATCCAGTACAGAACGGCACGGGTATCACGTATCTTGAAAAGTGACATTATGCCGATTTTTTTGACATTATGTAGGTTATTCTACAAGATGTAAACTTAGCACTTAATTGTACGTGTTGCCTAAACGTCATGAGGCTTGTTATCAATCTTTGACTTTGATGTGATGTAAAATCTGCTTCTGAGATGGCATTACTGGAGGTCTAAGCTGTAAGTTGTATGTGTTGACGATAATTTCATTGGGTTCTTGTCTGAAATACACTTAATTGAGATTCAAAGCTAGAAATTAGTTGCGCATCCACTTTTTCTTATCCATTCTGGAAATTACGTTTGCTGAATTTCAAAAATGAGAGAGATAAAAAATAATTATATTCACTGTACACTGTCGAATTACAAGCCATACAGGTATACATGCTAACAGTAATTACACACAACATGGGCGCGGGGATGATTTCCCGTAATTCTCCTTAGTTTTTCGTAATTTATAACTTTGACCATAACCTCTATTCAGAAAGCACATCATATAAATAACCCGTCATATTCGGTAATGATTTTCTCACACATCAAATATAACTGATTTTATACACATGCAGACTAATATACATATACATAATCATCCAGATGCGATCTTGCTATTAAACCAACTTTCTTCTCAGAGACCCGGATGACTCAGCCTCACAAAACTATGCAACCAATAATGCTTAGTTTAGTTGAGTGATTCCTCCATAGATGGACGTTCACAACGATTCTAGTGAGCAAACGTGGAATGACTGTTTGCGCCCCAAAAACTACCTAGTCTGCAACTTGACATCTTATAGGTCTTTTTGACGTTTTATAGGATTTTTACATGATACCCGTGCCGCTTTTACTTAAAAAATGATAAATATCCATGTTGGTATGGCCGCCAAACGAAAGCACAGATGTTGTGTCCACTGCTTGCTAACGTTTTTTTATTTGAATTTTGGAAATGGCCACCGCCGTGGTCGAAACGTTAGTAAATGATCCACCCAACATATGTGGTTTTATTTGGCGGCCAGAAGAACATGGACATTTTCATGATCACTAACAAGACTTGTCATTGTAATAACGCTAACTCTGTTTTTTGATGACTTTTACCCTCGTCTTAATTTCTAAAAATCACAAAACGCGGAATTTTGAATTACAAATGGTTTCTAGATGGAAAAATTGTATGACAGCACATGTCAGCAGTTTTTTCGAGTTTACCCGCCGCAAAACTTGACAGCTGTTGTTTCCTTAAATTACAACATTTTTGACAACAAGTAATTATGGACCCTAGGACACCAGAAAACGACGTTGACCAATTTTTCTGATTTTATTGTCAATAAATTTTGTAATATTGTTTTTAAACAGTGCTACTCAGCTGATGTAGTAAAGATGGGTCGCTTTGGAAGTGATTGCTTGACTACCTGAAATTACTACCTACATATTTATTATGTATGCATGTATAATAGGTAGTATGTTTTGTAAGCGATGTGTATGCAGAATAATCTATTACTCATGAAATAGTCTTGTCAAATACCATTCGGGCATTTAATTTTTTCCTCGGATTTATGTTGCCACCAGCACTCATGCTTCTTATTAAATTACAGTGTAACCCGCTTATGATGGACTCGGCGGGACTGTGACAGACATATAGTCTATTATAGGCGGATGGCCATCTTAAAAGAAACACTTTTTTCAATGAAAAAACAGCAGAAATAACATATTAAAAGCTTAAAGTGTGTTTGTTCAACATGTACGACTATTACATCAATAAAGATACAAAAAAGTTATACGTAATTTTGAAATTTGCATTTTTTCAGAATATTACAGGCATACATACTGTGTAGGTATATGTAAAAACTGTAAATTATTTGGTAAAAAAGCTAGTAATTTTGATTTGAACAGAATGCTTTTTTGTATAATTATTTAGAACAGCAAGTTGAATTGTATTTAATTTGGTAAATGTGGCTGTACTGTCTCCTTCTTGCTGAAAATAACGTTACAACTTTTTCACGCAGTCTAATACTTCCTTAGCTGTCACTGGAAGCTTTTCTTCATCGTTGTTTTCTAGTTCGTCTTCCTGTTCGTTATCAACGGATCCTTCATTAACCAAATTTTAGTCTGACAATTCCTGTATTGCTATTAAATTATTGTCAATATTTACAAACTCATTAACTTTGTCTATACTCGTATTCAGTGAACTATTAATTTTCAGTAAATCACTTAATGGAATTTCATCTTCTGGATTAAAATCGTTGTCTATTTCAGTTATGTTTTTCGCTAAACCAGCATGACGAAATGCAAGGGTAAGCAAATTTATAGCATCTAAAATGGTGGCAGCTTTGGTAATATTGACATCTTGAAGCTCCATAATTTTCATCGACATATGTTTCCAATATATTTGTTTAAGACTCCAAATGACACCCTGGTCCATTGGTTGCAGAACTGATGTCACATTGGGTGAAAAAAATTGAAGGTTGATGTTATTAAGCGAAATATTTGGATGAGCGGGGCAGTTATCGACCAAGAGGAAAATTTTACGATTTTTCTTAACAAATTCAGCGTCCCACTTTTTAAATATTCTTCAAAAATTGATGAAGTCATCGAAGCTTTATTATTTTCAACATAATCGACGGGAATTGTTTTAAGATTTTTGAAATACCTGGGATTCTGAAATAAAAAAAAAGTTCATAAATTCTTTGCAGCACTGCCATTGAATATTAAAAAAATTAGAACATGAATTTCTATTCATTCACTTACCTATTATCAATAGTTTCCGATGTTCAGTACCAGAAGCATTAGTACAAATCATAACAGTTATTCGCTCTTTTGATAGTTTCCCTCCATTGCAAGTTTCACCTTTTAATTTATGAGTTTTATCTGGTAGCATTCTATAAAATATCCCGGTTTCTTCTGCATTAAATATGTTATCATCTGAATAATCACTGGATATTACGGGCCAAACTTGAGAAATCCAGTCATTGGTAACGTTCTTGTCAACTGAAACTGACTCACCACACATTTTTCAAAAAACAATGTTATGTCTTTTCTTAAACCGGTCTAGCCAACCGAAGCTACATTTGGAGTAATCTCCAATCAATTTACCAAATTCTTCAGCCTGTCTTTGTAGCTTAGGTCCACTTATTGGAAAATTATTAGCACGCTTTTGTTGAAACCATTTAAAGAGCATATCATCGACTTGGGGATGCAACGATAGCCGCATTTGTTTCTATTGACTATTTGCTTTCCAGTCATTTTTAATTTTGTCGCGGTTTTTCCAAATAGTTGACACAGTGGATTTTTTTATAACCATACGAGCACATATCTTTGCGTGAGATGAACCCTGCTCAAGCTCACTAATTATTGTGAACTTTTCGTCTAAAGTGGATGCACGTTTCGCACTTTTCGACATGATTATAGCTCTAATGAATACAGTATAATATCAGCGAGGGTCTATTTTAAGCGAGTCTATAATATCCGAGAATGTTACATGCAATTATTTATAGGACCTCAAATTGTGTCCATTATATACGGGTTTCCATTATAAGCAAGTTCATTATAAGTGGATTCCACTGTACTTAGATGGCCTTATATCCTTGTTCCAGATTACTGAAACCTATGCATTCCTACCTCGTGAAGCCGTGACCCGCTTTCTATTGGGTTGCACCGAATGTCAAAAGCGACCAAGAAGCGCATCACCCCAACCACCTGTTCTACCGACTCCTAGTCCTAGCCCAACGTTGCCTGTAACACCACAGCAGCAACAACCACACCAACCAAGGAATGTCGCGTCTCCATTGCAAACTCTGCCGCAGGCTTGCTTACCAGTTGATCAAGAACAATATTCACACCCTAATGTGGAGACACCCAGAACAAATGGAGGTATGTGTAACAACTGTTGATTTAGGTATGGGAAAAATGAAATTAGGTTAGGGCCCTGATTCAGAGGAACTATCTGAAAGAAACTTCTGTGTGGAAGGTGTAAAAGGACGTTTAAGGCTAGGGTTACTATGGATGCGAATATTTTTAACGAGTACGTTCGAGATAGTTATTAGAACAAGGCTGTGTGCGTTGTCTGACATTTTGATAGTCGTGACAAAAAAAAGGTAAACACCTACGTATGTTTATTAGAATTCAAGAATTTTTTACATATCGATTTATCTTACCATGAACAACAAGTAATAAAATGGTCAGGTTATCTGTTAAGTTTTTGTGGTGGCTGCTTGTATTGTTTGGTGATAAAGAAGCATTCAGTTTTCGTACACTTACGGTGTCAAATTCCGTGTAGCTTATTTAGAAGCCTTTTTGTGATTACTCAAAATGCCTATAGTGCATAGAATTTGCCGGGTGTTCCAGCTAAGTGACTTTGAAGGGGGTCGAATTGTCGGGTCGCGTGAATCCGGTCTATCGATAAGAGAAGTTTCTAGGATGACCAACAGATCTTTATGGAGTATACTACAGTGTGAACGAGCGTGGACTCAGGTAGGTCGAGGATAGCGAGCGAGGGGTTCTAGACGTCCCAGAGGCACCACAAAGCGACAAGACCGCCGGTTAAGATTCATTAGTACTCGAGCCATCGCTAATCAGTGGTTTGAAGAGCATGGAAGGATGGTTGATATGCGTACGGTATATCGCCAAATACGACAGTTTGGCTTTTTTCTTATCGCCCACATTGGGTGCTACCTCTCAAAGCTGAACATCGGCGTAACCGTTTGCTCTGGCGTAGAGAAAGATTTCTATAGGAGTGGGTATGGAATCAGGTGACCCACAATTTAACAAAGAGCGTCACGGTCACCACACCATGGGAGTTATGATATGGGGTGCTATTGCTTATGGTAGCAGATCACCACTAATTGGGAACTAGTGGAGCCTCATTTCATTCCATGCCTAAAGACCATCCAAAACCCGATTTTTCAGCAAGACAATACCAGACCGCATGTTGCCAGAGCATCGTTAGCCCTCATGGCAGGTTCTTGAATTTGCTGCATCCTCCACAGACTTTAGCAGCTCTACTCACGTAGTTGCAGTAGCTTGGAACGAGATACCCCATCAAGATATCGACCACCTTATCAGCACGATGCCCAGGCGTGTCAATGAGGGTATAAGAAATCGTGGATCCTCAACACATTATTATTGAACCAGCTTTCGCAGTCAGTTGACGAATCAAGCTGAAAATCATTTTACTAATGATGGACGCAGAACGTGTATGGGTATTTCTCAACAAATTTAGAAATTTCATTTTGCATTTCTTAAAAAAAATAATGAAAATATATCTCTTTTTTGCAGAAATATATAGTTTTACTTTAGTGAGGTTCATTTAAAATGAAGGCCCTCCATATTTTTGTGTATAACATGTAGAAAAATGACTTTTAAAAAACTATGAAATGAGGGAATTACTGATAGGATTTGTGAATGATATTTACAACAATTTGATGCTGAATTTCAATAAAAAACATAAGTTAATTTATTAATAGATGTATTGAGATCTGTTTTATACTTTAGGGAGCTTAGATAGTCCTTCTTCCCTAGGCACATTGTCGTATTTTCATCCTTCTCTAAGAAATTGACAACAACACCCCTAAAGTTCAGCATTTTGGAGCTAACTCTACGAGTACAGTTTTTTTTGTACGTATCGTTTTTTTAAAAAAAATCGATCTATATAGCAATTTATATTTTTGCATTAATTGCAGCTTCAACATTTTGTAATATTTTTCTTTTCTCCATGTTTACTTCCAAGATCTTCAAAGTTATTCTTGAGGTCCGTTGACATTGCTTCTTATACCGTCAGGAACTTGAATATTCTTTAAAAGCGAAGACACTATAGTTGCTGGATAGTTTGGGTCAGTAGTTTTAGATTTCAATCTCAAATACCTCTTGTTGTATTTTTCACTAAGCTTGACTGCGTTCCTTACTTTATATTCCAAACTTTTATTCTTCGCGTACAGAATAGCTTGCCGCTTGCACATTCTACGTCTATTGAGAGCAGATAAGTTCTCTGATCTGTGCTGTAAAGGTGGTGCAGGGTTTGGCGGGGGTGTTTCTTCAACTATTCTCTGTAAATTTGGTTGTAATGTAACTCGATTTTCCGTATAAACTTTACTATTATTTTTCCATTGTTTTCGTTTTTGGCTAGCTTCTCTTGCACTCAGAACTTATTGACTTAACTTGACTTTTACTCTTCTTCTTTAAATACTTTAGTCTTTCTGTTTCACGCAAAGCTTCTAAAGACTCAGCATTACTTTTCATTTGTTCTCGCCTCTTTCTGTCGTACTCCTTTTTTAATTTCCTTTCTTCTTCATTTTCCCCATTCTTGGTATGCGGATATCTGTTCCCTCATATAATTGTCATTCCGTCACTTTCTAAAGGCTGCTACACACAGTGCCGGCGGCAGGGCTGCCGGCTAAGCCGCCGTACACCCGGCGGCATACAAAGCCGCCGGCCTTGCCGCGCAAAGGAGCCGCCGTGGTGTGTCGGCGGGTTACGCGGCTTGCCGGCGTCACTTCGTTCCTGGCATTCGAGCGGTACTGTTGTGCGGTTTGTGTGTTTAAACAAATTAAAATGTCGTTTAATTGGGACGACGAAGCTGTGCTGCTCTTAATTGAAAAATTTCATGAAAATGATATATTATGGAATCCCAGAAATGCAGCACTTCACTAGCTTTCTATGTGACTGTCACAACCGGAATGATGCTTGACGGCTTGTGCCGGCGGCATAGCCGCTCGGCATAAACCCGGCGGCACTGTGTGTAGCAGCTTTAATATAGTGAGGGAATGACCATGAAGAAATGACGGATTTGCATAAACGGCACCGTAACCTACAGTACATCACCTCAGATTGATTTAGCATTTTGTGAATCGACTTACCTTTTAATATAAACATGAGATAATGACACAGAGAAATTTAATGTTCTAATTATTGAAATCCAATACTTTTTTGCAGCAACGCTTTTCACTATTACATATTTTCGCCATGTTGACAGTATTAGTAGTATTGCCAAGTTTTAAAAACATAACAGCTGCCTTCAAAAATATCATATGGTGTGACCAGAAATCGAATATTTATAATTTTTTTATATACATATTTATTTTTTAGCAATGAAAGCTTGACTATGCAATCCATACTTATTACCCAATATTTTAGTAATGTTCAAGTTATAAGAATATGAACAGATTTGATTGTCTATATCTTTTTGTTATTAATTTCGGACCCAGGGACGAGATGAGGGAATGACTTTTAGACTAATAAATTAATCGTATTTTCTTTGTGTCAATATATTATCCAAATTTTTGCTTTTAAAATATTAGTGTAGATGCTTATTGATATAATAAAAATGTGAAATTGATGATAAATCCATGCAACTTAGCATCAGTGGCTCAGGACATGAATTTCGCAATTTGCTGAGAAATACCCATATGCCAAAAATTATTAAAATCGGATAAACATACGTACGTGTTTACCTTTTTTTGTCACTCAGTATACGTTTCTGACGCCTGGCAAATAGGGGCGAAGTAGATGAATTTTATTCTCTTGAAAGCCCTTTACTGAAGTTTACTGTTAGATTAGGAAAAAACAGAGCATTCCAATCCTTTATTTTATACCTACTAGATGTGACAAAGAAGAGATTGAAGGGTTGTTATATCCCTCAGTAAACTGTTCCGGTACACATTAGTTATCAATTTATCGTTGGCCATGGGGAAATAACCAAGTAAGTACACAAAAAGAGGCAAGTCGTACGAAAAAAACAAATCTGTTTTAACGCTCACATGGTTCTGACGACATCGTGCATACTTTGTGTGCTGATCGCTGCCAGTGTAAGCATGCTTATTGGGAAACAGGTGTCTGTTTATTTGGACGTACTAGTCAGAACTTGTTGTTGGATTCAAAACTAATTTTACTGTGATATCAATTTTCATCAAAGTCCAAAGACCAATGTGTGCAGTGCCTCTGCGTTTGCAAAACAAGAAACACATAGCTGTTTAAGGGGTTAAGGCTATTTTGTTGTCCTCTGAGGAATTTTGAAAAATCGACGATACAGATTTTCAGGCTTAAGTTGCACGCTCATTGAGGAAAAGGAAGGGAATCTCTTCCAGTGGATTCCGTTATACATCTTTTAAGGCCTGTTTCTTCAATCGCTGCTTATCTTTTAAGTTAGGTAACTATGACTTGGAAGTTAACTATCAATTGCATGTAAATTCGTTTTTCAGGTTCTAGTTACCAATCTATAAATCGTTGAGGCAGCCACATGGCTTTTATGCCTGAATTATCAGGTTCTATACGTTGCGTGTTGTTCGGTATTTGTGTCTTATGTGATCCATGACATTTTCTGTCATTGTGAAGCACATTCGGTGGACATTGAGGTTTGACCTCATCTTTATAGTTACCCCATACATTGTCATTTGGTTGATGTTAATTACTACTTACGGAGAAACTTGATATTAAAAACGTTTTTTGAGAGTTAGCTTCTGGCTGGCAGTCAAGATGCAATTAACTTGGCATTGAAAAACCGGGCCTAAAGCCATCTATTTCAATCGGTTCTCGTAGTCAATGTCTGTTATTTTTCCTTAAAATCCCTCAAAGACGGCCATCTCAATTCCTCTGATTGTACTTTCCACTTATAATAATAAGATAACAACGTGCCTCTTACATAAATATTTTTCTTATAGCATTAGAGCATCCTCCAGTTTCTGCGGCGGCACCTCCTCCTTCATACGAACCGCCTGTCGCCACCTATGCATCGCTTCAATCAGGCGCCCCAGCTACGCCTCCAAGACAGACCACGCCCATCAGGGAGGAGCCTCCGACGCCAAAGGCGGAGCCAAAGAGGTCTAGCAATCCGCTCGACATCGCCAACCTGACAGCCAAAGATCCGCCCAACTCGAGGAAACGAACCGCCGAAGGCGGAGCGCCGAAGTTATGGTCGCCCGTCGATAGGATCGCGGAGGCTGAGGAACCGCCCAGGAAAAGGGTAGGTCAATATATATATATATATAGGTTTATTCAAATACATAGTGAATCTGAAGTATAAAGAAAATATTGTTTATAAGAACCTAAAAGGTAACTAGTGCGATATTCCTTTCATCGAGCATAATGGTAAAGACCCAAGTTTATGTCCAGACCAATAGGGAATTTGTCCCCCATTCAACTCTAAGTTCCCACTTAGTTCGATCAAACTGAATGTTTGTAGTTTATTTTGTTCTCAATAAAACACTCTCTCCATTGAGTTAGCCGAGCTCACAAACTTTCTGTAACATCCAGAAGTAACGCCTTCAATAACAACCTTAACTTTCTTCGTCGATAGTCGATATAAATAAGTTTGGAATAATCTGTTACAGTGTACCTAATAACATATATTTAGTTTCTGATACAGGGCATTGTAAATGTAACAGAAAATATACAAAAAACTTATCAGCTTTAGGAACAAATTAATGCAAATCCTGATTTTTTCATATAATATTTCTATAAATGAATTTTTCGTTTTTGAGAAGTAGCTGTTAGAGAAATGTATGACTCATTGTGTAAAATTTTTGTTTGTTTAATGTTGCATCTTTTCTGTTCTGTTATTTTTTCAAAATTCCACGTTTCACGTAAATTTTAAGAACAAAAATTTTCAACCGCCGTCAAAACCAAAAATTCGACACCAAAAAGTTTGTATAACAGAATTGAAGGCAATGCGTATCAAACCACTCGTAACTCTGAAACTAAACCTTCAGCCCATGGACACTTTTGTTCTACGTCCTACGTACTAATTTTATCAAAAAATTTTACAGAATCCGTTCCTCATAAGGATTCTGCGGGGTCTCTTGCCTTCCAAACTTCAAACGCAAAATTTCTCTCCAAAGCTGTAACCCTAATAATTTATTTGTAATTCCTATCCTTAGCCAATTTGTTAAATATGGTATACGAGTAATATATTAAATACACCATTGTCCACCATTTTTCATCTAATTTAAATGGACTGATTGAAAACTTCTCGCAATTGCTACACCACAGTTCCGCAGTCTATTGGGCTTTAAAGTCATTGTGAACCTATGCAAGAGTTTTTAATTCGTATGCCAAAACTGGCGAAGAAGTATTGTAATCGCGAAAAAATCGATATTGAGATATTATGTTTTTTGGGTGTTATCGGACATGTACATCCCGAAAAATCATTGCCGTCGGTCTGTCTGTCTGTCTGTCTGCTAATTTTATAACCGTCTACAACTTAAGAAGCACTGCTCGGATTCTGATGAAATTTTTACACAGGGTTGCTACTATGCCAAGGATGGAAAACTTTTGTCGGAGATTGGTCTAGTGGTGGCGGACCTAGGGGCAAAAACATAAAAAAATAATAATCGCTTAACTTCGTTTTTTTGACGTTTTAAAGGCTCTTGGTCATTTTTGGAAGATTTTTTGGAGTGGTTGAAACTTGGGTATTGGGGGTTGCAAATGTAATGTCTACAATATCAGTCAAATACGTGCTATCATTAAGAAGCTTCTGATCCCGGTAACAACGGGAATATAACATGATAAAAGTCCCATGAGGGTTGTCCAATAGCGACGCAGGAAAGTAAACGTCAATTTGACATAGACGCCATCTTTGTTTTCTGTCACCGACATGTCATTTTGTTAGTTGAATGTTTACCATTGATCGCTATGGAGTCGTATTCGATTGAAGACCGCATTAAAGTTATTCAAGAGCACTACAAAAATGGCGCAAAAATAAAAAACACGTTTCGCGCGCTTCGTGAACATTTCGGTCGCAACAACCGCCCAAACGAAACAACCATGGTGCGTAAATTCGAGGCAACAGGTTCTGTGGCAAATCTGCCAGGCTCTGGCCTGCCAAGGAGCGTTCGCACACCGGAAAATATTGCTGTTGTGAAGGAGAGTGTGAGAGACGATCCGAAACAATCCCAAGAATTGGGCATTTCGAGAACCAGTTTGCTCCGCATTCTCCACAAGGATTTGAATGTACACGCCTACAAGATCCAATTGACGCAAGAGCTGCGTCGGGCCGACCATTTTTCGCGCCGAACGTTCTCAGATTGGCTCCTTGAACACCCCCAAATTGATGCCAATTTTTCATCAAAAATCATGTTCTGCGACGAAGCGCATTTCACTTTGGATGGGACGGTAAACAAGCAAAACTGCCGCATCTGGGCGAACGAAAATCCCCGTGAGTATCAAGAGCAGCCGATGCATCCTCAAAAAGTGACTGTGTGGTGTGCATTGTGGTCAAAAGGCATCATCGGACCTTACTTTTTCGAAAATGCGGCCCGGGACGCCGTTACCGTCAATTCTGAGCGATATCACGTGATGATAGAGGACTATTTTTTGCCGCAACTTGAAGGAATGGATATGGACGATGTTTATTTCCAACAAGACGGTGCAACATGCCACACAACCAACGTCAATATCCATCGATTGCAGTCCTTCTTCGGTGATCGCGTGATTTCGCGCAGAGGAAATGTGCCATGGCCACCAAGATCGTGCGATTTGACTCCCTGGGACTTCTTTTTATGGGGATATTTGAAAAGCAAAGTCTACGTCAAAAAAACCAGCCACCCTCCAAGAACTCAAAAACAACATCATTGCCGAGATAAATGCCATAGAACCGACCATGTTGCAAAATGTCATTGAAAATTTCGACCATCGCGTGGACGTCTGTAAATCCAGTCGTGGTGAACATTTGAGCGATATTATTTTTCATACATAAATGGTATAAATAAACCTTCAAAATAAAGTACCCAACTTGATTTGAATATCAATGTTTCTTGTTTTAATATGCGTTTACTTTCCTGCGTCCGTTTTGGACAACCCTGGTATAACTCCAACTGGTCTGCGATGGTGTCGTCACTGACACACCGCTACAGGAGATATATTTGTACATCTTAGCAATATTTGGATATTAGGAGTACTTTCGCTTTAGTGTTCTGCGACGCTTTTGTAAATGATGGCTTAACTGTTTTTATACAGGGTGGCGCATCGAAAACGAAACAGACGCATTTACTGGCAGCTCAGTTTTGTTTTGAAAAACGCTCAGACTCGTCGATGATAAATTCTGGGATTAGAATTGGACCAATATAAGCAGTTATGACGATTTACTACGCCATTTAAGAAAAAGGAACATTCGTTGGAAAAGCAAGTGTTGAATAGAAAACGTTCATCGTTTATAATTCGTTCACTCATATCTTCACAAAATTGTAATCGCCGATCAAAATCGTCTTCATTAAGTTCTTGTACCAGGTGAATTTTATACGGATGAAAACTATGGGCCTTTAGAATCCGTTGGACAGTACGTCGAATAACACCACACACAGTCTCCAATTTGCGGGTACTTAACGTAGGATCTACATAAACTTGCCCTAAAACCCCCACTTCTATTGCTTCGTTCCTTATGGGATTTTCAATGTTGCGTTTTTTATTGGCGACTGACCCAGTTTCCCGAAATTTAGCTACAAGTTCTAGAAGATCTTTTCGATGCACGTTATTGTTCTCATGTCGCATTATTTCCGAAAAATGAACTCTGTCTGCTGTGGAATATACCATGGTTAATTTATGTAATAAAGCGTTACAAGTTATTTTAGCAACAAAGTTTGGTCAAATCAATCGCAAACTATATACTACATTCCTATTTAAAATAAGTACGAGATATTTCCTTATCTTTCTTCAAGAAATAACTTTTTTCCACAAAAAAAACGCTCCAATAGCTATTTTCAACAACAAAATGATAAACAAACCATGGGCGTAGTGATGAAAAGCATTTACCTATTAAGTAAATTCTTTTAGTCAAATTCCTTCTGAAAGTAGTACAAACTAATCTGATGTACCTATTAAAGTCTACTTTAAGCTTTAAATCAATTAATCTTCAAAACTACTGAACTGAAGCTCATGTAGTTTACATCATTATAAAGGGAATTGGAAAACCTTTAAAATAAGGTATCACTCGATCCCCCTTTCCATTTAAGATTTTAGGGTTGGTGTCACCCCCGCCCAGGGGACTGCACGTGTTAACGTGATTTTTTGCCAAACTTGTGTCCCCCTCGAAAGCAAAATCGACGGGTCTGAGCGTTTTTCCAAAAAAAACTGAGCTGCCAGTAAATGCGTCTGTTTTGTTTTCGATGCGCCACCCTGTATCTACACATACGAGTATCTTTTTCTGAATTTTATAATCTTCAAATGTACCACCCATTTCGTCTAACCTTTAATTTGTGTTATTTCGCCTATAACGGTTCTCTGAATATTTCGTCAAGTAGATTAACTCAGTACTTATGACGCATTGATATACAACAGACACGGAAAATTGATGTAGCGGCGATGAAAATCAAATCGCTGGAACATAATCTTAAAACGTTTTAGAGATTCCTGCTCATTTTCAGATATTGTTTGGAGGGGATGCAAATGTAGGTAAGAGGCTGTATCTGGTAAATGGTTGTAAATTGTTGCATATTTGGTGTCAGGGAAATACCTTTTAGAAGCTGCTGATCTCAGTGATACCCTACACCTGTTAGACGTAATAAGTCACACATATTTTCTATACATCTGCCATGGAAATAGAATTATGATAGATGTGCTTTATATAGTTTGATGAGGTCGAAGAACCTAGCTAATCACGATTCGATTTCGCCTTATCAAACGATTTGACTCTTACCTTGTCTTTGAACCCTCCAACAAAGGCGTAGAAAGTAGAGAGCTAATCTACTTGACGACATTTTTCAATTTCTTTTGGTTAAAAACGTGTACTGTCCTAACTTCGACCAACTCACGACCACCACACTCTGCAAATTCCCCCTAAAACTAAGTCATTGCGTCTGCATATCTTGGCAGTTCAAACATTCCTTTTGTTTCGTTCCAGATGCTGCTCGCTGGCGAAATAGACTACTCGTTGCCAATAACGACGACATACCTGAAATACATGAGAAGTTTGGGATGCCGAGACGAGGACGCTTTCAGGTTCGACAACAAACACGTAAGTGTTGTTCTCGATCAGTTTTTCAGAGAGATTGTCTCATATTATTTCCATTATACCTAAAACTTCGTATATAACGTGAAGAAAATAGAAAGATATGAGCTTGAAGATTTGGATCTACGGGTACCTTTAATCTTGTGTATTATATAACATATCGGATACCTATCCATATTTGTAGTGAAATGAAAACTTGGATAATATTTTAATTCCTACCGAAAAATGTCAAACTAAATTCTTGTCGGAATCCTACTCGTAAAATTTACTTCGTCACTCGTTACCGTTGCGTAAATGTAAAATTGTTTTACTAAATTGTTACAAAAAAATATATACCTATTAATTATGCTTCAGGTGAAATGTCATCTCGTAATACTCGTCAAGCCAAGTTAAAATCCAAGCTTCTCCTTGGTTACGACGAGATGTGGCGTTTATATTTATACCGCTTGTTTTAAAGTCGACACTCTTACATTGGGGTCTCTGTAATGGTGAAGGATACGAGATTGATTGAATAAGCACAATTATTTTTATAAACAACATAATTTTCACAAAATCGTTTTTATTTTTTCTGATTTTATTTGATGTGGGATTCCAAAATGAATTACTCGCTAACATTGCCACTTTTACTCTGCTATACGATGGTGTGATTAGAATTCCAATGTGATGTTCCATATTTTGCCTCAACCATAAACTTTATTTTTTTCTTATAGACGCCATATTATATTTTTGCACAGGTGAATACTCTTGCAATTTTCAGTTTTCAGTTATTGCAAAAACAATATATACTGATTTGACCTTGTCAGATAGCCATTTCATAATACCATCAGCCAATCGTTCCTTCAGTTTTTATGAACTGACAGTCCGTTTTTTTCACATTATTGAAAGCAGGCCTACAAACTTCCGAATATAAATATTTTATTTATTTCAATGCATCCCACGTCAAGTAGACCTAATATAATTTAAGACATGACTGACAGCGCTAAATAACAAACCAAGTGATTGACACAGCAGTCAATGTATTGATGATGTAGTACTTGTACTCGTACATGGCACAGTAAGAATCCGTATTATGAAACTTCACTTCAAATGCCTGAAAAAGATAAGGCTAACTTTTTCGTATCATTCAAAGGTGGTACTGAAGACACTGAAAATAGTATAATTTTAAGAGACTGATTGAAACATTTTAAAGTAAGTGTACAGGCGTTGTAACGGTCTTCCAGGTTGCTGGACACATTTCATATCGTCATACCTAAACCGAGGCACACTGTATTTAATATTACTGCCCAGGTGTCACGCAAACTTGTGATGAGCTGTCATTGTCAAGGCCAACTATGAAAATATTGTTGTTTTTAAATAACTGAATTATTGTAGTGTTATTATATGACATTTTTTCGAATCAGAATTTAGAACTCTATTTACCTGTGGCAAAATCCATAGGAAAGTATAAATTAGTTGACTGCCGAGACGTAGAGGAGAAAACTGAAATCATTGTGCAATTTATTTTGGAATTCCACCTCAAATAAGGCCAGGAAAAAATAAAAACGATTTTGGGGGAATTCGGTACTCTTCAGAAATACTCTGAATTGCGAAAGTTTCATGCCACTTTCTTAGTTGCCTAAATAATGCGAAACTTTGCCCTTACTTAACCGACTTCTTATCACTTACCTTATCGAAATCCCAATGGTGATTATTTAAGTTGAAACGCCCAGCATACTACACGCCAATTTTTTAGCGGCACCGTTTTTTATCTGCTTTGATTAGAATGAGTAATACCATTATTTTTTATCAACAAAAAATGAGGCACACATAATTGCTAATTTGCTAAGAACACAATTTGAACTCTTTTTTGGAAATTGATTGGAATCATTGGTAACGGTTGCACCATATCAATCCATGCGAGAAGATTCCCCAGAGGAATGAAACAGACATTTTTCTAGTACGGGTTGAGTATTCTCTAAACTTAAAATGCTTGAAGAGATTTTATTCAGATTTGAGGAGGAAAAGGGGCCATTTCTGATGTTCGGAAGTTTTTGTTGAAATTGTTAGTTTTTGATTCTTCTAAAGTATAGTTGTATAGAATACCTATTTATGTCGGTTTATAATATTTATTTGGTTACTTCAATAAATCTTCGGTTTTATTTAATGCTTAGTTCGTTATGTCTCCTAGCTATTAATTTGGTTAAACGTAGTTTATTTAAAAAAATTAAGATAATGTTAATTTTGCATTAGTTGTTACTCTTGGGTAACTAAAAAAGTGTTGGTAGTTGAAATTGGATTCGGACTAATGTTAGGTTTCCTTTTTTCAGTAATAGATTGATAATTTTATGAATATGGAGATCATTTATATAACAATTATTTATTAATTTGTTTAAATATTAGCTTAAAATTGGAATAATATATTATTTATTTATAATCTTTCTTCAATGAACTATATTATAACTATTGTGTTCCAATAACAATGACCTTTTCATATTTTGACAACTAAATCGGTTATCTTAGTACAGTGAATACATCTTTTTATAACCTCCGAACTATTAAAAAGTGCGAATTAATAATTGGTTCTCAACAGATAAAAAATATTAGTTGAAGTACAGTTACAGTACAGTTATAGTTATTGTGGTGTGCCTATCATTTTTTCTGCCTAATTACAACCAAGTGTCCAGTAAAGGTAAGTTAGTTGTTTGTTTATTGAATATATGCACAAATCAAATAAGTGTCTTTTCTTCATATGGTTTGATTTAAAGATAAATTTTTACTTCATGTAAGTATTTTGCGTCGTGGGATTTCTAAAGATCTCTTTAGGAAGCGAGACATTAGCAATTGCATCATATGACGATAGCACTAGTGTGGCCTGTAGTTTGTTGGAGGAATGTGTTGTAAACAGGGTCAACAAACAAAACTATGTATCTAGTGAGTGTTATAGTGCTTTCCAGTAACTGGTCTTGCAACGTTTTATGCTTACATTTACCTTTGGCGTTGTCCACCACGTTATTAAAATCTCTTTTTTCTGTGGTTCTTGTGGAGTCTGGAGTGATACATGTCTGGATAACCTTGCTTTTTAGTTTTTACTTCCTACGCCACTGGCGAGGAAAAATTGCAATCGTTATGTTATGCAAAAGGTATATAACGATATTCGACGGTCTGTTTGTCGGTCTATCTATCTGTCTGTCTGTTAGCTAATCCTTGACCCATCTGTAACTTGATAAGTACCGCTGATATTTAGATGAAATTTTCACGAAATGCTATTAGGTCAAGGACGAATGAGAGTTGTAAATTTTGAAAATCGATCCAGTGACGCCGGAGTGAGGGACAAAAAACTCGCACAAACTTCGTGTTTTTGACGTTTTAGGGGCTCCCGACCATTTCCAGAAAATTCTTTGTAAGGTAAAATATTGGAGGTTGGGGGTTCTAGGGGGTGGAGGAGGGTATGTATTTTTTTTGATGGAGTATTTTCATGCTCCTAGCTCCGGTCCCTACAAGGGTTCAGTATTGTTACTCTGCGCCGCGAGTCCGACTCGTCGTACTGTCAGGTATGGGGAAGTAGCGTCGTTGCCAGATTGTTTGTTACTACCGACACGGAAGGGAAGGAATGCCTATGGAATAATTGTATTGACTGCTTGAGTGACTTGATCTGCTAGATTTTCTAAATGTTTTTTCAAAGAGTCTAACTTGTGCTGAACATAATCCTTTATGAGCTGATGGCGGTGTAGTCTAGGAAGTGCAGAGTCAACCTACTTGATGCTATAGCGATTATAGATAATATAAAACCTGTTAACTGTTAATTTGAGTGGATTATCTCTAGAGCAAACAGTATCTCCCGTCTACTATGTCTCTTAGCTAAGAACGCTTACGTTCGCATTGTTTTGTCAGATCATCATCGTTTGATTTGTTGATTTAGCCTACTTTTGAAAATCGATTTACTTACTATTCTTCAAATCAGAAATACGTTACTGTCTAGTTGTTACACCAAACCCTTCAGTTACCCCTACCGTAAAATTCCATTACATTAGAACCACCAACTGGATGAGCAACATGTAACCAAAAAGCAATTAATGATTAACACCCCTGTAAGTCATCATCGGCGACCCATCTCTCATCTCTCACCCCATCCCATCCCCATCCGCCCTTCATTTGCAGTATGTGCGCGCTCTCTCGAGTCGTCAGGGACGTACTGACGGGATCTCGAAGGGAAAGAATACCCATAGCAAGTTGCAGGAACTAGCAAAAGCTGTTAAAAAGAATAAAAATTATGAGGTTTTATTTAGCGGCCAGACTAACATTGACTATTATACAGGGTGTTTCAGTTTATTGTTGCATAACTTTAAGATTCGATAGAACTTTTAAAATTAATGCATAAAGTCTATATAAACATGGGTCGAAAAATGCGTGGCTTCCTTTAAATTTACTTTCTAAAATAGTTTTTTTTTTAAATATTTCGAACAATATTTGATGTATAACAGTGAAAATTGGTATATCAGGGTTTTTTGGTACGACAAAACGAACCATGGGCATACTTTTACTGTAGCCGCTAGAGGGCGCTCTCTACTGTACCTGTAGTGTATTAAAATGATCGAAAATTTTTTCTTAGTGCAATTTTTTGCTTTTCGAATAAAAAAACTGATTCTTCGCACTATTCAACATAAAAAAGCTCTCCTGTGAGTTTTCGTTATAGTTAGCCGTTTTTGAGATATTTCGATTTTTAAGGATCGATGCATTTTTAATTATTTATGGGAAAATAATATTTTTTTTTACATTTTCGATTTGGGCATTACAAGTAATTAAGATGATCGTTTAGATTGTGTTTTTAAACACAGCAATAATTCCTAACTCCAAATAAACACAAAAAAACAGAATATCAATTTGTTTAATTTTCCAATATTATTTTTAACAAATTAAATTAATTATTTACAACTAAAATGCTATTGGATAGTTAGGACAAACATACAAAATCTAAAGTAGTTGCTCGAAATGTAAACCCAATTGTTCAATACACAATTCACATCTACGAATGATCGAACGTGGTATAGCACTATTCAAATAAGGCCTTATTTGATCACATGCATTCCTGATTCTGCCTATTAGCATATCTCTTGTGGTTACGGGAGTCTGGTACACTTTTTCTTTTAGAAATCCCCACACAAAGAAATCTAATGGATTTAGGTCAGGGGATCGTGGAGGCCAGGCGACTGGATAATTTTCGTCCAGCCAGTTTCTAACTATTCTCGAATAATGAGCTGGACAACCATCAAGCTGGAACCAGGCCAATCTTCTTAAATCTAACATAACATCATCCCACATATTTGCATGTTCAGCCTTTAAAAATTCCAAGAAGGTCGCAGCATTTAACCTTGCAGGCAAAAGGTAGGGTCCAAATAGTCGATTACGGTAGATACCAATCCACACGCTCACACTAAATTCATGCTGAACATTTTTTTCCCGAACTGCATGCGGATTTTCATGCGACCAAATAATGTTGATTATGAAAATTTACCACTCCACGTCTAGTGAAGCATGACTCATCGGTCCATAAAACGTTATTTAAAAACTCCATATTTCTATAAAGAATCCACTGACAAAATGTGATTCTTCGTTCTCCGTCCCCTGGCTGTAGTCCTTGCACAGGTTGCAAATGGTAAGGATGTCTATGGTCATTTCTAAGAACACGGTGAACATGGCTTGCTGAAATTCCCAAGGCACCAGAAACTCTCCTAACACTTGTGGTCGGATCTCTATCAAACTCACGCAGAATCATACGGGTAAATCTGCGCTGACGAACATTTATGTTTTGATCCCTTTGGAGATTTCCAAAACCATTTTCAATTATTTGGCGATGCACTCTTACAAATACTGAGCGAGTTAGATGTCGTCTGTTTGGAAATCTTCGTGCGTATTCTCTGGCTGCTTCTGCTGCGTTTCCATTTACAAAGCCATACACAAAATGTATATCCGATAACTCTTGATTGGAGAATAAAAATGGCATTTTTATAAAACTTACAAAAAAACAGGTAAAAGAAACTAAATTTCGTGCATTCACAATTGCAAAAAAACGTTTCAGGTTTCAACAGACAACAAAACTAACTGTTAACTAATTGACGTTTAACCTTATTCTGCTTTCAATTTCAAAAATATTTAAAGGCACAGCCTACTTCTAAAAATTATCGAGATACTGACTTTAACTTTATTTTATCATAAATAATTAAACATGCATCGAACCTTAAAAATCGAAATATCTCAAAAACGGCTAACTATAACGAAAATTCACAAGAGAGCTTTTTTATGTTTAAAAGTGCGAAGAATCATTTTTTTTATTCAAAAAGCTTAAAATTGCACTAAGAAAAATTTTTCGGTTATTTTAATACACTACAAGTACAGCAGAGAGAGCTCTCTAGCGGCTATAGTAAAACTATGCCCATGGTTCGTTTTGTCGTACCAAAAAACCCTTGAATACCAATTTTCACTGTTATACATCAAATATTGTTCGAAATATTTAAAAAAAACTATTTTAGAAAGTAAATTTAAACACCCTGTATTTCAGAAGCCACGCATTTTTCGACCCATGTTTATATAGACTTTATGCATTAATTTTAAAAGTTATATCGAATCTTAAAGTTATGCAACAATAAACTGAAACACCCTGTATATAAAACAGCTCTACAGGTCTTATAGCCCTATGGCTTGAATAATTGCCTTTCGCCACCCTTCTCTATTCATCGACCTTCTCTCCCAATCTCTTCCTGGAGCGGCACTTCCTTTTCTTTCCTATTGAGTGGATCAGCAATGTCTTTGGAAAATCTTTTGCCGTTTCCCAGAGATCTCAAACTCTAGGCTTTTATAACCACTATTATTTTGGGCTCTTTAAACAATTAATTTAGCTATGCATTTCCACGTACCTTTTTCCAACAGCTTACTATCAAAAATATTCCTTTATATGTACTTTCCTTTCTCATATTTCCAACTTTGCTTGATCCTGTTATTGTACATGTTTCACATGCTTACGCTGGCCTTATTAGTGTTTGGTACTCTAGCTCCCAGGATTTGACCTTGCTTCTTAGCAATCTGTTCAGTGCATATTCGAGTATAGCCCGATTTCCAGACATTGTTCTTTTTTGTATGTCCTCCTTGTTACTCGGCTTGGATGTATGTAAATACCGTTCGCAAATATTCAAACACCTCTACCTTTTCAAAGTTATAGATGTTTCCTTGTGTTGTAGAGTTAATATTCAGCAAATATGTGACGAGTTCAATAGAATTTTTCACGAATATAGGAGAAAACTTGGCAAATAATATCAAACAAAATGCTGATGTTCAT